TTGGAGGCAATGTTGCAAATCAATGAGCAAAAGTGCTTTATGGTAATATTGGAACTTCAGGATGTTTTCAGTGTGGTGAAATACCTTGATTTCTCAGGTTTCGAGTCTCTGCATTAGCCAAAACAGACACTCCCATCTGGTTATTATTGTAAATGGTTTCTTAACTGCATTCGTACTACCAAACCTTTTCTATATGAATGTCTGTACTTATTGTATTGTTTTACAGAGATTTAATGAAATACTGTGTGTTAGCTCAGAACATGTGTTTTTGGTAAATACAATGACACACTATACTACTATAATGCAATAGATATATGTGACACTACATATACTAGAGCACACAAAGGGGATATGGCGGTTCCAAACTGGATATGGATGCAAAACACTGGAACATTAATGAAAGAGGAACTTGATGACACTGGTTAGATCATCTACGTACGATGTTCATGTTACAGCAAACACAACTGCCAAAGTAAGCAGAATTCCCCTGATTTTGAGTTTCATTGCTAATGAAAGAACAAAAAGAGGATCTGACTTAGATCTTTCCTGTTTTAGGATGTAATTAAGGGGTTGTCTTTATATTATATATAAATATGCAATAGATGAATATAGGCACTATTATCTCTAATATAACTGATCCAAGCAAATAAAGTTCACAAGGGAAGATACGTGATTACTTAATATACAGTATACCCTGTTGGAGAGTTGAAACTTTAGAAAGTATCTAGTGTAACTGATTTGATTCCTCCCTTTCTTAGTCATACAGATTTCAGTAGAATCATAAGAGGAACAAAAACAAAAACTGCACAATACAGATGATGATGGACCGGAATAATATTTTGAAGGATGTAATCAGCATGAATCCTCTCTGAACCTGAACAAGCTTTAAAGATGTTCATTGACATTTGAGTTATGATGGTCTAATGTTTGAACTCGACTACCGCCCTTTGACACTCACCCCCATGCTGATCAAGAGCTTTGGAAACATCAAAACCAACATCCCAGCCAGCCTGGACCAGTTTGCATACAGAGTCAACAGAACCACAGAGGATGCCGTCGCCACTGTTTTTCCAGTCAACCCTCACACTTCTTGAAAATAGCAACACTTACATCAGAATGCTGTTTATTATTTCAGCTCAGCAAAATGTATGTATTTTTTAAAATGATTTGTGACATTCTTTGCTGGAATCGTCTTCAAAATAGCAGATATTTTCAGTTTGGGGGAAAGTTTGGAACGCATTTCTTCATGTGTTTTGTGAGAGCACCATTCTTAGAGCGACAACATGCAGTAAATCTTAATGTGCGTTTACTCCAAGCTGCTTAGCGCTAAGCCCCTTTAAAAATGCAAAGTAACAAAGTAGAGAAGAACGGTGAAAACTTGATACACACACACATGTGCACATCTGAGACAAATCCCTTTGCCATGCACTGAGAATTTACAATAGAGTACAAAGTTGCTTTATCAGTGTTTATTACATTTTTCGAAAGACTAAATGTTGTATTTTAAGGATGTATTAAGTTCATTTTTAATAGAAGAGACAGGTTTGTCTGTGGTTGATAGAGTTTGCATATGTGGACTTTTGTGATAGACAATAAATAAACTTCACAAACAAAAAAGCAGAAATGAGAGTCTTGAGCTGTTGCTTGCAGCTCACCACACTTTCTTCCCAAACGACAACTGAGCACAATAATCACGAATGAATTTAATTCATGAATGCACCTCAATGCAGTAAAGGTTCAGAAATGGAATGGCTGTATTAATCAAAACTTTGAATGTCCTCAAAGTAAACTGAAAGTGTGTCTTGAGCTCTACAGGACGGAGATCGTCAGGATTGGCACTTCCCAATATCATCAGACATTGCAACCACCAAGCTATTCTAAAGTCTCAAATTGCCCACTGAAAGTACCAGAACACTCCTTGATCAAAAGTGGACACAAACCCACTCTTACAAATAGACAGAGGGGAAGTTACATATCAAAAATAGTAGCAGGGGGAATTATAGCAAATTCAATATTCTGATTGCAAAGCATTGCACAGAGCCTGTGGAGTAAAGCACTAATGATTACACGTGTTGCAATGCGAATTGGAAGGACGCAAGGCAGTTAGCAAGTAATTATAGTATTTGAAAGGAGAATGTGACGAAAGAAACAAAGTTGTAAAAACATAACTTGAAAGTCAATGGAAGAAGGTGACTTTTCTGTGATTGTTTAAGAAAAAAGTAAATGAGACACATGGAGCTGGTTGGTGAGATGACATCTTTAGTACGCACCTCTACCTTTTTATTCTCTTTCAAGTGATTACAAGAAAACAATGTGTGTGAGTAATTGGCAAACCATACACGTAAAGCACTAAACTCATTTCCAGGTGTATTATCATAGAACAACTTCATAAGAAAGACGTCATCAAATGCATAAACATGTACAGGAACCCAAACCATTGTGAGCTATTCCCAGTCTGAGTCATTTATACATGACAACAATTGACCCCATGATAGTGAATGTAAAAGGGTTTCTTAACAGGAATTCATTTTTTTTGAGGATTTACATTGATTTTCCAAGAAGGAGAGCATTCCAGGAAAGGGAGGAAGTTGAGAAAACACAGGAAGTAGTCAGTGCCTGGTGGAAGATGGTACAGTGATAGCCCACGTTGCATATTAAATCTTATCTAAAACACCTCAAAATAATATCTGGCATTAACTATTTGTGTGTGTGTGTGTGTGTGTGTGTGTGTGTGTGTGTGTGTGTGTGTGTGAGGAGGGCCAGACAGCTGCTACTGTATGTACTGTAGTCATACAGACTTCTCTTATTGTAGTCAAGATTTTTCAGACAGCAACCAAACAGTTTCTGCATGTTGGACTAACATTTCCATCCTGCACTGGGTCAAACAATATGAGATAGAGATAGATAAATACTGTATTTATCCCGCAAGGTGAAATTTGTTTGCTACAGCAGCAAAAAATATAATTAAGCACTTTGGTTATATATATATATCGAGAGAAGATGAAAACAAGAGTATAGTCTACAACCACATTAGCGGCTCTGTGAGCTAAATGCTGATGTCAGCCTGCTAACATGCCGACAATGACAATGCTAACATGACAATGTTAGGTAGATATGTCTACCATGTTCACCATCTTAGTTTAGGGTTTTAGTAAGCCAGTATTTATTTTTATTTATCTATAATTAGAGGTAAACATGAAGTACAGCTAAGGATGAGGGGAATTTCAACGGTTTTGTCGGTATTGTCATAACCAAAGTGTTGGACAAATTAACCAATTACTGTTGGTGTGGCTTTAAAAAAATCCAGTTTTGGAAAGATCTTGTTTGATAGAGGGACTTTAGAGAGGAATCTGTCAAAACATCATGACGAGGACGTCAATGGGCTTAGTATTAGTATTGTGCCCTGTGCTGTCCCAACATTTACTTTGTGAAAGATGTGACATGATCTGTCTGACAAAAAAAAGCACAAAGCACCAATTCTAGAATGCCAATTCTGAAAGAAATATCATTTTACAATCACCTCAGATGGTGTTTCCCAGATAGATTGAAACTGAATAATTAGAAAGCGTTTGCTTTATTATAATAATAACATGAGTACCCACCACCAACTTGAAGGGAAAAATAAGTCATTTTATAATTGAAGGCACTGAAGTGCATGGTTAAAATTAAAAATATGAGCTAGTATTATCAAATGTCTTTTGAAACACAGCGTGTAACGGTACACTTGGGTGTCTCCATGGGAAAGGTAAGTGTGATAATATATTTTAAGTCAGAAGAACTCAAGGAAAAATTTGAATAAAATGTATGTGTATTTATCATAGATTTTGGGGTTTTCTCAGCTTTTTCTTTTTTTACAGTGAAGAAAATTACTAATAATAAAATTCAGTTCAGTCATTGTTTTTAAGTGAGCACTAACTTGGGTAAATTTCCATATTTTATCATATTTCTGATAATTTAATCATCGTTGTCATATTCAAATCCATATGATCTTACAGGCTGTGTGATCTTTTTTATGCTCTACCTCATGAAACTTACTAATGGAAAGTCTGTAGTGTCTTGACTAATATTGGAAAAGGAACGTTAGAGTATCACTGTGAAGAAACAACAAGAAAATCACTGATTTCATAAGAAGAAACATGTGCACCTATTAAACTTGTGTAACTATATAATTGTGGACATATTCCATACATTACCAGAATCATAATAATAACTATTTGATGGCACGGTATGGGAGATATTGATCATTCCAGCTGGTCATCCCACAGGAAGAATATCTTACATTGTTGCTAAATTTGGGGGAAGAAAGTTCACTGGACATGAAGCTAATCCCATAGCGTGTGATTGGAAATAAAAATCCACCGAAAATTTGACTTCCGCAGTCACCGGGTTTTTATTTCATCTATCCTGCTATGCAAATATGGTTTTAGGTGGATTTTCCCATCAAATTATTTGGCTGAAAATATCATTGGAGTTTTCCCCCCAGAATTATATCGACTATGTGTGTGTTTGAAACCTGCTTTATTGTTGAAATACTGACTTTCCTGGAGCAGTTTATCCTTATAATAATAATACAGAATTATAACGAGCAAAACCAGAGTTAAAGCAGCTTGTACACTGAATTCCTGCTCCCGCTGGTCATCATTGATGATGAACCTTCGGCATCTACATAAAACCACAATCGACCACAGACGGATGCCGGACCGGATGCTTGACGCAAACCATTGATTTCGTGCCTGTTGCATGGGGAGGTATTGGGAAATCCCTCCTGTCCGACGAATATAAAATGACAGCCCTTGGCAAAGACAAGGCAACCTCTTCTGGCCCTCAGCATCATCAGTGGAAACTCAACAAGTGCCTCCCTGCAGCTCAACATGCCCTCTCAACTCAGTAAGCGATTCGCGGGCTGTGGTGCGCACGTTTCCTGCGTTTCTTCCTCTTTTCATTCATTCGTTCATTCGTTCGCTTTTCTCTCTCTCTCTCTCCGCACAGGCCTGCTGCTCTCCGCGGTGATGCTGGCCGCTCAGCTGCTGCACGCTTCCGGAGCTCCGGTTGAAGACACGCCCACCGACACCCCGGCAGGTGAGCCCTCAGGTGAGGAGGAGGTGGTGTCCTCGGACCTACTGAGCGTGTCACCGGTCTGGCACGCGCTCCTCGGAGCGACCAGGCGCCACAAGAAGGAGGTAAGCGGTTTATCGTCCGGGGGTTTCGCTGAGCTGTGGTATTTTGTTTGCAGTTTCTTACACGATGACGTCCTTATCAAGTTGTACTGAGTCATTTTTAGAGTGAAGAGTGGGCTGACTGTTGTCTCACTGTCTGAGCACATATAAAGTAAACTGCACAACTGACCTCCATCATTTATTCTTTATCATCCCCCTCCCCCTCAGTTTGAAGATGAATTCCAAAATGAGTTGAAATATCATTTTCTGGAGAACTACAGAGTCTCCTCACTTCCAGCAGGCTGCCCTTACTCCAACTTCAGCAAGGTAGCGTGTCTCCTCCCTTGTCCTGCTGTTACACTGACACAAGAAACTTGGGTGAATCGGGTTAAGTTAAGCTCTGACTGTGATTTTCTTCCTCTCTCCAGGAGGCTTGTCTCCACAGATTGGCCCAAGGCCTGCTTATTTACACAGTTCTTCTCAAGCACGTGGAGAAGGAGTACCCCAGCAGCTCGATCTGCTCAGTGGCCAAATACTACAGCGGCCACCTGGTCAACCTGTGCAAAGAGAAGGTGGGTCTGAGATGCATACTCGTCTTAAATGCTGTTCATTTGAATTTGTGGCGGCGTTAATGCACTGTGGTGGCCTTTGTGTCAGCCCTGCCGCTGTCTTGATTCATGTAATGGACTTTTTATTTGTCTCACTTGCTCATCTTTGTGACAGCCAGTGGTGGAAGAATCATTTAGATCCGTTGCTCAAGTAAACGTATAGCAACACTCCGTTTCAAGTAAAAGTCTTGCATTCAAAATTGTACTCAAATAAAAGTGCATCAGCAAAAAGTAGCCATTATTGAGCAGAATGCCTCCTGTCAGTGATACACGCAGGCCATGGTGGAGCCACAGTATATTTGACCTACTTTGTATAGCATTTAGACATTTGCATTGCTTTGTATTGTATAACTCAAGAGTTGTGTGTATTCTGCTAAGTAACTACAGCTGGCAAATTAATGTAGTTGAGTGGAAATAACACAAAATAGAAGTGTGGATTACCTCAAAACTTAAGTTCAGTAATTGAGTAAATGTACTGTTACGTTCCATCGCTGGTTACAGCTCATTTATTAAAAAGGGTGTTTGTTCCCCTTTTGATTTTGTTTGTGTAAATGTCCATTTACAGCTTTAATCACGTCTTGATGTTAATGACCTAGTAATGAATTGGATTACATCAACGCTGCTTGTTCATGTTACCCAATGGTCACTTCTGCCCCACAGATGAGGAACTCCGAACAGGTCACAGCACTGAACAGCAGCCAGGAGGCGCAGCTGCTGAGGGAGGTCGACAACCCCGACACTTTCCACAGGAAGATGACCGCCCACAGCATCCTGCGCCAACTCCACCACTTCCTCGTCGATAGCAGAAGAGCTATTACTAAAAAGGAGAAGACCAGGGGAAGTGTGGCCGACAGGCTTTTGGCACCCATCACTTTCCATAACCAAAAGTTTAAAGATGAGACTGAACGGTTATGAAAGTGTTAAAACTGCTGCTGTTCTCACACTGAAGTATTTTTGTTTTTAAGTGGGGGGAATGATGACAGTGCACTACGTGTACGTTTATTGTCAATCTATGATTGTGTAAATCTGAGAGGCCTCAGGGCTTGAATTGGCCACTATTGCACAACTTATTTAACCTATTTATATTTGGTGAAAAGTGTTATTTATTAATCATAGGAAAATCCATGATGGTGGGGTTCTTGCACTAAAAATGCAATTTGCACTAGATTTATATTTTTGTCGATTAATTTCTACGCTGCAAAGATGTTACTTGAGCAGCAGTTAGGACTGCATTACTGTTTAGAATAACATCTTTTGAGAAGCAATAATTACTGCAACAACCATTTTATACTTAGAGTACCGTTAATTATTTATCTAGATTGTTAAACTGAATTTGCTGTTAAATTAATTACGGTGTGATGAGCACATGACCAATAATGACTGGAAGGAATATTTTGTAATCATTCAGAAATAAAAAAAATATACATTAAGACATGTTTCTTCATTCCAACACTTCACACGTCATTGCAACACTTTGTTTTTGCACAAACACTTATAGTATTTGATCTGTTGCCTCATGCAGGACAAGTGTGTTTGTACGAGGCTGGGAAATACGCTGTCAAACTGTAAAAACTAAAGCTTATAATCTGCAGTGATCGATGAGTAATAATTTTGATTACACAACATACAACAACTAATCATATTCTGTTTTTTTTTTCCTACCAATTTTCACATTCAAGACAATGTTTTGGTTGAAAGGTTATGCATCGACATGACTCATTTCTTTGTGGATTTATTCTCAGAAATCTTAAATTACAAATAAAAAGAGGAAAACATGGAATGAATGTTATATCCAAACATCGCTGTCGCACATTCCCAACACAACACCGACAGACAATCCAGTCAACAGCTCATATTTTCAAGATTGAAGTCTTGATTCCAGCTTGTTGATCCAAATATCTTCTGTCCATGCAGCAGACGCTCAATACATCTGCATGTGTGGCCGTAAACAGTACGGCCACACACGACGTGTATTCATCACCTCTCTGATATTGGACAGCATGGTTTATGGAGACGGAAGTGAAAAAATAATGTCCTGGAGTTCCAATGACAGGTGGGTCACATGGTCTCGATGACGCGAGTGGGCCGGCTGTGTGGAGACGTTCTTTAGCCCCATAGCAAACTACAGAAAAGAAGAAGAAAAGGTTCAACTAGACTCCAGAAATTCAACAGTTCACCGCATTACATCCACCTTATTTAGCACACTTGCTACAGCTAAAAACGGCTAACTCCTCGATAAATAAACAGGATTTACAGTTCTTTTTACATCCCCTACAATGGTGGAGCAACGCCGACACACTGCCGTAGACTTACACACGTCTCTTTCTACGTTGTTGTTGTAGATGACTGGGAGCTTCGTGCACCGGACCGTGACGGCACCAATGCACAAACCCTCACAGCCAAAATTATTAGGAATGTTTTCCAGTAAAAAGAGGGAAAGTAGCAGATCTTTGTTTATTACAAGCCAACTGTGCGATTCCTTCAATAGGGAGGGATATTCAAAGATAAAAGCCTCAAAGAATTAAAGATACGCGCTGCAAAACCTGACAAAACTCCTTCTAGCATCAAGCATAGATCTCCCAACAAACTGTACTTACCTCAAGACTGTGGGCTCAGGCATTCCTGGATCTGCTCCCCGTTTGAAACCTTTAAATTAAAACCATGAAGAAGAATTAAAGCATACGGGTTTACATTTTCAGAAGAAGTGCCCTGAAATGTGTGACACAGCAAAAACAGAATCTAGTTCCACTTAATAAAAGTGCTACATCAGAAATCTCTCCCAACAGTTAGGCGTATCCCCAGTTAAGTGTTTCACTGAGTCATTAGAGTTTGTCCGCAAATTTAAATTCATGTCTGCAGGAGAGCCCAGTTTGGTTAACGCCGTTATTGCATCAGAGAGCTCTGACAACCACAAGGTCTTGAATATCTCAATATTGTGGAACAGGGTGGAAGGGCCCTTGTGATTACATTTCTGTTAAGTAGTAAGATGCACGTCTGACTCACAGCCTCCAAAACCCACGAAAAGGAAAATGTTACCCTAGTTTCATTCAAGGGTCATGATCGGAGCAATGATGCAACCGATTCTTGAGAAAAACATGAGATTTATCAATTAATTATTAAGTCTATAAAACGTCAGGAAAGAAAAGGAGAATTCTCATTGTCCAGATGAGTCGGACCAAATCAAAAGGGGTTCATTTAAACCTCCAACTCCTATAATCGGAGATGAAACCATCAAAGCTAGGCTTTATTATTTAACGCACTAACAGACTTTTAATTTCGATAAGTAATGATCCAATTTAATGTTTCAACACTATGAGATCACGATTGCCTGGAATATGCAGCGTTCTTCAGATGGTGGAAACACACGAGAGCAACAAATGACATGTTCAAATGAAGGAAATTCTGCCTGTAGAAAGTAAATGAGTTGCGAGAGAGAAATGCATTAAAAAAAGGGAGGTTTAAAAAGAGAAAGTATGGCGTCAGGGTTGGTATTTCCAACAACCTAAAATCAGAGAAGATTCGCCCACAAAGGGCAACTCCACCGGATGTGAGGTCACACATGCAAACGTCATAACTTCCTTATCTCTACTCCAAAAAAAACAAAACCAGGTATTTGACATATGACACCAATATACATGTCCTCATTCATGTCTTGTTTTAAAGCTGTTCCTCTTGGGAGTCCATGGACTCGATCCAAACTAGATGGGAACTTGCACAGTCCTTGTACATCATAGAGAAGACAATTATAAATATCTCTCTCGCTCACGTGCTAGTAATCTTTCTGAAAGTCTGATATTTTAATAATCACATGTTAAAGCGCTACAGCTTGCTTTCACGAGGAGCTCGTGGGCAGTTCCATCATATCCGTGTGGATTCCCTGCACCGATGAACCAGTACACTCACATAATCACGACTCACTTCTACACACATACATCATGCATAAATGTACATGTATAATGTATTGAAGTAATACTACTCCTCCAGCGTGGCAATTTAACTTTCAGTTGAGGGCTAGCCTGCTAACGTGCTAACGTTAGAGAGGCATGCCTCCTCTCGCTCGCCGTACTCCACCTGCTACAGTTCGGATACTGACCGAGGTACAGCACGGTTGGTATGAACCCCCATCGGATGACAAACTGGCCGCACTGGAACAGCTGCTGCAGCCGCTGCTTGGTTTCATTGCTCAGTTTAGCCATGTTGTTTATCCTGAACGCCGACGGTGCTGTATCCACCAAGGACAAGAAGGCGGAAGTGACGTAGGGGGTGCCGGGCTGTTAACTGTCCGTTTTGTCGTAGGCCTCCATCGTGTGGACAGACATGAAACTAAACAGTTTTACTTAATTGTTGAGCCAAAGTGGCCCAAAATAGGTGCTGATAACCGCATCTACTTCAAATAATGCTAGAAATAGTGTCAATGTGTTGCCTATGAAAATAATCATAGATCGGTGCAAACAACACGCAGTTGGCAAGGTTTCATGTTGAAACGTCACATTTAAACAGCACAGTAAACAAAGATCTACTGTTTTATTTAATCTAAAAACGTGAAATGTATGCAAATTAATTAATTTATAAAAGTGCAAAACAATTACTGATTGGGACTTTTCAATATCTTTAATTACAGTGCAACTTTTCCCCCATATTATGCCCTGATTTTGAAATCCAACAACATTTTAAGTGTACTATAAAACACCACCTTCCTCAAGCGGTAGTGTTTAACAGCTGTCTAATTGCATAAATAATTAATATACTTACATGGCCTACACAAAAAGATAAAAGTTAAGTTGTGGAATTTTATGCTTTGAAGTGGATTCTGAATTTAAAATAGTCACGCTTGATGATGCTTTCCAGTAGTTAGAAAAATAACAGAGCACACAAGTGAAATATAGAAACACTTTATTCCGAGAAGTTGTAGCAATGAGTTATCTTCAGACATAGAAAGGCCAATATAAACCAACTTTAGTACAACAGTATGATGTACAACAGGAGCTTACCCATTCACATTCTGTAAACCCACATACAGAAACACAATGATTGTTATTGTCCCACCAAGCTATGGACACTCGACAGCTCAAGTACACCAACAACAGAACACACTTTTGCTTGAGGGTGAGGCAGCTTGATTTAGGAAACCAAATGTAGCAGATGGGTAGAGTTTAATTCCTTTTTTTGGTACAAAAGGATATCACCGTGTCTTGTGACGTGATGATAATGATGTGGGCAACCAGGAGGGACACAGGAAACACATCACCAAAGGACTACAAACAGCAGGAGTGGTGGGTGGATCAGAAAAGAGGAAAGATGCCTTGTTGCCCCCACACACACCTTCCCACTGCAGAACACAGGAATAGGTTCAGGTACAGTTTTGGTCGACTTTTTACATCTTTAGTCAGGGGTATCGGATTCTTTCACCTCTGTAGAAGTGGGTGGACTTCATGTCTGTGTGGTTATATACGTAGGGAGCAACACATCACATCTGTCTCACAGGAAAATACCACAGTTGAGAGTCAGACCTCTCTTGTTCATCATAAGAAAATACCGAAGTTGAAGCAACTTTTTTTGCTCTTTCAAGTGCAAAATTCAATACTTAACAAATCATTCACACCCATCGTCCCCCAAAATCAAAATCCCCTTGATCATGTCAGAAGTTGGAGGTTTATTTTTCCCGGAAGGTGCTAAAGGAGCGAGAAGGAAGAACACAAATATTGCTTCTCCATCACAATGACAATACGGTGTCATTGTAAACAAAACGAATTCTTAACATACTGGTTGATTATTAAATGGTCATTTTTCTGTTGAGGAACAATGCAAATTCTCTTTTAAAAAAAACAAAAAACAAAAAAAAAAAACCACACAACTTTAACTGTTGACAGACGAAGAAGTGTGAATGAAGAAACACTGAGAAGAAGAGATTTGTATTGCTATGGGAAGGGATCAATTCTTTGTAGTTGTTGAAACATTTGTTTCAACTTGGAGAATCACACCTTGTTCATTGTATCAATCAGCAGCTTTTAATTCTTAAAAACATCTGTACATACACACATCCAGTCCACACACGCAAGCATGCTTACACACACACACACGCACACGCACACGCACACGCACTCAACATCTGCCCTCTGACACACCTGGGCACGGTCAGGATGGATGTATGGAAAAGCCATGCAGGGCAACAAATGCCGATTAAAATACTTTCCAAAAACTTTTCCACACAGTTTTTTTTTTTAGTAATAAGTTTCAAGTGCACCCATTTACAGACAAGCTGCTCTGCGACGGGGTGCAGCCCCCCCCCCCCCCCGGCACAACTTCACAGCAGCAGTGCACTACTAGAAGTCAGTGAAGCTCGAAGTGACATCCGGCCTCCATCAGGCCCAGAGGAGAGTCTGCTGTGGGGAGAGGAGCAGACCAGCTTCACAGCACGAGAGAATCAGACGTTAAAATGGAGCGAGGAGAGAACCAGCAGGAGTGCGTTCGTTCATGTGTTTCTGGTCCGCTGCGGTTGGCATGGCTTGGAGTTCCAGGTCACAGGTACAGGGTCACAGGATCAGAGGCGAGGGGAGTCAGGAGGTTCACACGGGGGTTTCAAAGATCAGAGCCGAGGTGCACGCTGATGCTCGGAGAGCGCTGCTGCTTGTGGTTTGCCGCCGGACTCAAGTACCCTAGTCCGTCCTCCTGCAGGCTGCACGAGTAGCGGCCGACTTCAGAGGCGGTGTGGTTGCTGGTGGGAGGGGCGTTGTTGCTGACCACCTGCTCGAAGGACCGCGAGAAGACGGCGCTGGCGGTGCGCGTCAGGCTGGTGAGAGCACCGGCCTTGGGCACCGATTGGCTGGAAGTGAGCGTCAGTCGCTTGACGGAGAGCTCTGCGCTCTCACTGGCGGCGCGGCCCATCGTCAGAGGGCCCGCCTCCTTGTCCTTGTTGGTGCGCCCGCCGAGCCGACACTTCTTCATGGCTTTGGCCCCCAGGTTCAACGTTGTGACACTGTTGCTAATTGTGATGGTGGGTGGGGTCATGTCCGGCCCCATCCCGCCTGGCCACACCCCTTCATCCACCTCCGAAATATCCATCAGCTCATCCGGGGAACCCAGATCCACTGCGTCTGTGAGACAAGAAAAAAAAAAAAAAAAAAAACAAGCACCGAAATGAAAAACAGGAGCATGCGGATGAAAACATAACCACCTCGTCTGTCATCCAGCCCATCAAATTTTTAGGATTAACAAGGTTTAAAAACAATAGGCAATGTATTAGATGTTTTGCATGTGGGGCAAAATATGTAGGGCTGCATGACAGACGAGCTCTTTCACTGTCCAGCAGGTGGCGCATTCACACCGTAACCTCGGCTAACCTGATCTTGCCACCTGACATGAGACAATGCAAGTGCAGTATTTGAGCCCAGAGCACAGGTTAGTGAGACCACAGCGGGAGGTTTATTGAGGAGTGCATGTTTTGTCCCAAAGAGAGAAGCACAAGCTTAGGAAAGTCCACACAGGGAGTGCAGAGGAAGGCACAAATACGTAAACCCTGTTTGCGTCTGTCCTGCTTTCTTTAAGGCAGACCTGTGTGAGTGGGCCAAACGTATATTCACAAATACACACTTTTGATCTGACGCTATCACTGTCACAGAACATCTGTAAACAGCTGGTAATCAGACAGATAGGCAGGTTTTGTTAAAGTCAGATTTAAACTGTTCGGGAGTCAGATTCAAGTCACGATTTTAACGTTTTTAGCAGCTTTGGCTTCAAATAACTCAAGACCTGCATATCTCTCCTCAGCTCCTAGCTACCACTGAGAAGGAAGTCTGTTCCAGGTGCAACCCAGGAGTAATGTGTCGAGGCGTACCGAGGTGTGCTATAAGAGACACCCCAGCTTACTGATCTTTGTCAGTAAAACCCATTGTAAACATACAATCTCCTGATACGGGCACAGCTAACGGATCATATCTGGGCAATATTGTTCACGGTCATGTGTTATCAGTGACCTGACCTCGAGCTTTTTAGAGTGACATTTACTAAGCGAGGTACAGCAAACCAAAGAGTTTACAGTTTTATATCTACATTATGCGAGTCATATCTATTGACAAATGTTCAAACTATTTAAAAAAGGTGCAGTGTGATTAGGTTGCATTTAGTGCTGAGGTAGCAGATTGCAACCAGCTGAAACTTTTCCCGAGTGCCACAATGTAGGAGAACTACGTAGATATGAACAGCTCACACTAAGTGAAGTTTTTGTGGTTATACACTAAAGAAAACACTTATTATTATATTCCATTTCTGCCAATAGATCCCGCTAAATGCTAAAGGCTCCACTTCATTTTGCTCAACATAAAAACGTCACATTATCTTCAGCCAAGCGCATTTCATTGGGTTATTGATCTGTTATTCAGTTAGATCCATAATAATAATTAGATTTTATTCTTCGTGAGGAAGCTTCAGCCACAAAGGAGAGTAAATGAATGAGTGACATTGGATTGACAGATGAGAGGAATAGTGCAATTAGGCAACGAGAGGACGGTGGAGCCCAGCGCAAAAAAATGGGAAGTCATCATGCAGCTTTTGAGACCACGCCCCCACACACACTGTTACCTAGGTCGCCCCGGGAGTGGGGCAGTGGGAAGGAGGGGCGGGACCTTAGTACTGGCTCCTCCCTGTGGAGGCCGACCCAGAACCCTCATTCTCCACCATTCGCCTCACAGACTTCTGCCTCCTGACCTCCTGACCGCGGAGATCCACGCTGACCTCGGAGCTGGCGCCCAGCGGGTCGCCGTCGGGCTGGGAGCGGCCGTCGGGGCGCGGCCGCAGGGAGTCTCCGTTTGCCATTCGCTCGCCGCTCACACCTGTCACACTGATCTCGGGGATGGCCACGCCCCCAACAGCAGCATCACTGTCTACACTCACCTCCTGGGACTCTGGTGGTGGTGAGGGGGGGCGGAGTGTGGGAGGGTAGCAGGACAATACAACACACACACACACACACACACACACACAGAAAGACACAGAAAGACACAGAAAGACACAGAAAGACACGTACCATGCACACACATGGAAAACAAAAAGCCAGCCGTGTGCACAGACACACACGACCACAGTGACAAGACAAACAGAGGTAATCAATGTAATGGCAGAAAAAATAAAAAGACAAAAATCATAGTGATCAGAACATAACACATGGTCAAAAGTACATGCAATATGGAGATGAATGTGAACACAGTAATGAAATGGAATCAAATGTCATACAGAGCCTCACTCACCCCTCTACATATGAATTAATATTTAATTGTACTTTTCCTCCATCGTCTGCTTATAACAAAAGCTTTCCGCATAAACGAGCAGCTGGGATACGAGCACCAAAGAGCAGGATCCATAACATGAAGAAGGGATGTTGAGCTGCAGATGAAACCCGCTCATTAAATGAGCTGAAGGCTGTAATTTACCCGTCTTATCTGTACTCTGTGGTTTAGACTTAAGAGAGCGCTGCTCATTTGTTCTACGTCCATCTAAATACCATTACTTTTCTTTGCAATATATTCATGTACACGCTGCGGCTGATCTGTATCATAGTATTAAATACACTATCTGCTCTCTGGTGTCAGAAAGACACGGTTCTGAATGAGGAGATGCTCAAAAGGAGGCAGACAGCACTAGCTGCGTTATGAAGCGGAGGAAGGGTGTGATGAGGACAACACTGATGTACACCGTGACTGAAGGACATGAAATGGTAGAGCGAGTGAATAATAAAGAGATCTTAACATCGTGCTCTCTCCTTCGGTGTGGATTTGTCCTCCAGTCAAACCCGTAAAAATGTGATTACAAAATGTGAAAAGTGTGAGTGAGAGCTCTTCTCTCTCCCTACAACTCAATTAGCCTTCTAGTCTCACCGTGTCTCTTCCAGCGGTGTCCCCTGATAGAGAGGGAGGTGACAGCATTTCGGGAGATCCTGGAGGTGGTGGGTGTGATCTCCACCTGGATACTCCGTGCACCCTCCTTGTTGTTGCTCTTCAGTGCGGCGCCGTGCAGCGACGACTTGATGGCGTTACCGACCTGAGGACACGGAGAAGCAAACATTACTAATCCTGTGACTTAGTCTCCTGTTGTGCTACGAGGATGACAGAGTTGTGTTGATATGATAGTCTTCTCTAGTGTAGAGGCAACCGTTTCCTGAAGTAGAGAAAACAATGAAATGATGCTGTACAGTTTTCATGTGGCTCATTGTTTCTAAAATCACTGCAAACAAGCTCAATGCACATGCTTAGTATTGTATCTGAATGCAATATAACCACATTAAATGTACACTCTATATTATGTCCATACTAAGATCCAGGTGCAAGTTATACTAGTGTAAATGTAAAATATGTGAAAAGACATTTATCTGCTTTTTAAAATATTTTTTTGTAATTACCGATTATATTTTTTCAAAGATGTTATTGGTTAGATTTTAAACATGATGCACTTATTACTGCAACAAAACTGTTTGTATTTCAATCTTAACTTTACAGAACTGCTAATTGAAATGAAAAGGTTTTTAGAAAAAACAAAAAGGCACTGACCCGATACACAATAACAGCATTTCTTATAATCACCAAGACATATTTTTCTCTCAAGATCAATAATCCAATTTCTACCAGATTTAGGCATAAACCTAAAAGCTTAGCACAAACCGACCGAGTGACACAGACTAGTGACATAAGAAAAACAGAAACGGCTTTGTGTTTCGCTCAATAGTACACTATTTCACAAGTCTGTCTATAATGACCTCTGCTGTTGCTGGATATTCTCCAGTGGCACTAATGCTCATGTAACAGTCGAGTACGTAACATGGAGATGGAGGGCGTCATAATCACAACACAACATGTCTTTTGTGTGTGAGGCTGCAACACAACCAGCTATGCCGAGACCGCAGGTGTGCTCCACTGCAGCATGTAAACACTCCAATGAACACACAACACAGATATCTTAATATTTATACACAGGGGCGTGTGTCCAAAAAGATGTTTCTTTATTTAAAAAAAAAAAAAACTAAAAAAAAAAAAACATCTTTTCAAACCCCGTCCGCATTCTTATTCATGTAAATCCAAAGGTTGTGCGTTTTGATTGTTGCGGAGAAGCACACCTTAACTTGTGTAGTAATACTGTGGGCTTAGGTTCAATCCTCTACTCCCTGGGCCTCGAGGATTATGGCTTAACGGAGCAGAGTGAAAAGCATGTAAATAATCTAGTGGGATTACATTCTGAATGCAGTCTCTGACACACAGGGAGAGAGAGCAACACAATGCAGCATAGTGTGCTGTACATGAATCAAACCACAGGCGAGCATATGCATCTAAATCACTCTCTCTCTCTCTCTCTCTCTCTCTCTCTCTCTCTCTCTCTCTCTCTCTCTAAAGGGAGATGTGCATGTAGAAAAATTGATTTGATTGCACCCACCAACAAAGCTTCAGGGAACAACTCCAGCTGGGCCCGGTACAGAACGTCATCCAGTGCTTTGGATCCCAGTTCAACCTCCCCATTACACCTATACACAAAGACAATAGAAGACAACACACACAATACACACAGATTTAAGGTTCCCTGTGGAGCGATAGACCTCTAGTAGCGCTATGGATCGTTTTTTCCATGAGAGTGGGTCCCCTGTTTTGTTCATCTTGTGCACAAGGACATGCCTGCAGGTGAGACACAGTCCTACAAATGGTGTCTCACCATTCCACTGATCAACAGGTGGTGGTAACAAGAAGTTATGCACTTGCATGCACATCTTATTAAAATTTTTTTTTTTTTTTTTTTTTTCCTTTCTTGCAAATGTTTTATGAGTAAGGACATCGTTTGTGAGACCTCAAGGATACACGCAATGTGTTTTGGTGACTACATTTGGGAAATGCAACACAGTGGCATAAACTGGTTCCTACACAAGATGCAAAGTGAGCATGCTCAATGATTGTCACAGTCCAACCTCTTTTAAAAACGTACGTTACAACACTATTTGCACAAATGAAATCGGGTCAGAGATAAAGTCACATGGAGCAGACTTTAAGAAAAGCACTGTTTATGTAAGACATGAAAAGATGAAGCTGATCAGTGTGCGCAGGCACGCGTGTACACTCACAAGGCGTAGTGTATCCCTGTGATGAGCTGAACCAGGAACTCGGACGTGACCGTCAGCCGCGTGCTAATGCCTTTGTAGCGACGAATCTGCTGCCTCGGGTAGCCGCATATGCACACCCTGGAGGACGGCAAAATGAAAACACAATAGAGGAGCTTGTGTCAGTGAAACAGGGAAGATTCAATCGAGAGAACCGCTCCACTGAGCCACTCGGCTGCAGCTCTATTAAGGCAATTTACTTCCTGCAGTGAGCCGATAATCAACTCCACAATAAGTGAATAACTGCTGAAAATAAGCACACGCACACACGCACGCACACAGGATGCAGCTAAAACTGAGCTAACACCGGCGCACTTGAAGCCATAGGAGCTGCTATATGCTGCACACAGCTGACACACAGCAAACGCTCATGGGGAAATGAAAGCTGATGACTTCTCTTCAGCTCTGTGTTTATTAGAGCAATGCTCAGCTACAGTTGGCAGATTACCAAAATCCCTGATCTGGGATATGTTTGTACATCGCAGCCCTTTGCCGAATATCTTGGCTCTCAACGGCAAAGTCTATAAGAGCATCTGATAAGCCAGTGCTTGTAGAATAGTGTTTGTGTGTGTGCGTCTGCACATGTTTAGCCATATTTAAGTAGCCTCCTCAAAAACATTCACAATCAAGAAATGATCATCATTCTACAGTATGAAATTGGTGTGCGTGTACTTATACAGTCCTCATGACAAAGTGTGTGTGTGTGTGTTCTTTACCTGGAGCTGAGCTGGCAGACAGACTGGAGGGAGGTGGCAGTCATGTAGCTGAGAGCAGCGTTGTAGCACAGCAGCAGGAAGGTCAGCACGTCAAATCTCAACAACACAAACATACCCTTAAAATAGCCCGTCTACGTTACAACATGACAACATTTGAAACATATCAGGTCTGAAAATCACCGACACAGTTTCGCTTCCATATATACTGTAGAGAGACATTCCATCATCAGAGATTGAAGGATTACAGAAGCAGTGCTCCACTTCTAGCAAAAGCAGAGATTTCATCCGTTTTATTCCACGAATTCCTCGTTTTTATGGTGGTAGAAATGGGATTTTAGCATGATTTCAAAAGCTAAACTATTAATAAAGTGCATGATTGAATTCTGAATTCCGCTGGCTTCTCTGTCAGATTGTCCTTCCTCCTTCATTTGTGTTTCTCTTTTGGGTTGTCTGCTTGCTGCCAATTCTAAAGCAGGCAGACCGGCAGCTTGCTACCGGGTAAGCCATTTTAAAAAACGTGCACAACCTCCACCCTGCTGACACATCAATACCCATCCAGCAGATTTGTAAACAAGTTTGCCCATCGAGCCTCTTCCTACCTGTTCTGTGCCGTGAAGGACTCTCTCTGGAGGTGTGGCCCGCTGTACACCACCCTGCTCAGCCCGTGATTGGCTAGAGCCCCTTCCGTGAGGGCAATGGAGCCGATAGCTGAGGGCTGGAGAAGAAGAGGAAGTTTTAAAACTGAACATTTCTGCAAAAGCAAAATAAAAGAGACGAATGCATGTGTGTGTGTCTCTCACCTCATGGTACACTGACGGTTTGGAGAGGGAAGGGATGGTAAAAGATAATATTTTACTTTGGCCATCTTTATCAACTATTTCCTGTGAAAGAGAAAGACAGGAAGACAGTGAGAAAATGTTTCTGTTTTTTTTTTCTGTGTGCCCTAAACCTCAAAAGAGTGTGTGCTTATCTCTTCAAGCACACTCGTCTGTTATATGTGGACCTCAGGGTCTCTCTTTCCCAAATCAGTCTGCTAGTGTGTGTTCGCTTATTTGTGTGTATATATATTGTGTGAGCACACTCGCACTGACCCCGGGGTTTTGCAGCCCCCCGTGTGCATGTTAATGTCAAATAGACTAATAGGAGCCAGCCAGTGAGTTGAGTGACAGCTGACATATTCTGCTATTCAGAGAGGAAGTTAGAGGACACTGCACTTAGCTGATGGCTGGAGCATCGAGAGCCAAAATGGATGAAAAAATAGGACTCAACACACTTTAATAATTATTAGTGCTGACATCTCTGTGGGAAGCTTAAGGGGCATTCATTCCATATTGTGTATTGGCAAAGTCACTGTTTCAATTCCTCTATTTCTTACCCATAGTTCCTGTCACTCTCCATGCATAGCTGTCTAACAAGGCAGGAAGTGCAGAAAGTAATCGCAGAGTGTCCCCTGCTTCTGGAACTGCATGATTACTCCCATTGCTTACGATCGAGGACTTTTTCCTTCCTTACCTTGCACTTATCACACTGGAAACATTTCACTGGTATTTACATGAACAGCTCCTCTTTACTGGCAATAAGTAAACAGCTGTGACATAAGTCACCCTAACCCACACAAACCACTGGCCTCATCCTCTCCCCTACCAGGTTGTAAATGCCCAGCAGCAGGGCCTCGATGCAGCCGGACGTGTGAGGGTCTCTGGCTGCGCTGACGGACAGGAGGCTCCACAGGAGCTCTGGCAGGAACTGGAGTGTGAAACGCTGCAGCTGCGGCTCACCGCTTCGGTAAAACTCAAACAACTGGTGACACACTGGCTCCAGGAACTAGGAGAGGGCAGAGAGCCAAAAAACATGGGCACATGGTTTCACCCCGACATATAATCAAGGGTGTGTAAAAATACAATAGTTAAAAAGGTTAATGGTGGCACCTGAAACATGACAAAATGCTCGGTGTGGAGTCAGGATTTTACAATAGATAATAAAAATATGAAAGTGTGTGTCCGTACATCGCTGTAATTCTCTCGGATGACCTTGTAGAGTGCAGGGACCAGAACACCTTTGTCTTTTAGTGAGGCAGCATAGGTGGACACAGCACTGTCAGGGAGGGTCTGAAACACACACACACACACACACACAGCTCAAGTTTAATACGCTAACTGACTTGCCAATATTCTAAAAATAAAAACACAGCATGACAAGATGAGAAGTGAGTACTGAATAACCTAAAACCTGCCCATTATTATGGCTACAGGTGAAGGAGACAGAATCGGTCTCAATAAGAGTGACGTATAAGCAATATTGTAACACATTAGGTTTGATATTTGCACAATATTTTGACAGCGTCTAAAGCCTGCAGAGACAGACAGCTTCTGTAGACATTATCACTGTCCGTCTTATCAATCTGGTTCCACTCAGAGGTCAGTCTGATGACAGGTGGGTCCTCATGCGTTCACACAGGAAGTTCCCTTCAGCTCACTTATTAGCACACCTCAGTGAGTCTCCACTTTGGGAGCAGTCACGTACTCGTCGGTGCTCATGTTGGAGGAGGAGCACGCAATTTTCTGAGCACACTTCAGAGTGCATTTGTTTATGTGTGTTGGAAGACACGTTGCCAATAATAAAGCAGCAGCAGAGAATGAGCTGCACACTGATCACAGTTATGTGCTTGCTGTTGCTTTTTGCACACGCACACACACACACACACTACCTTATATTCTGACAGCCAGTCCTCCACCACTCCTTGGTCCATAGCCAACATGTTCCCTCATCTGCAGTGGAGTCACCTCTACCTGCATGAGGAGAAAATAAACACTATTTAAACACACGCTGCATAATTATTGACACAAAGCAAATTTATAGTGCATTTGCAAGCGCGCATACCTTTGCCAGCCTTCCATTGTTTGGCCGCCTGATAAAAATATTCTATTACGAACAGCAAACAATGCCGTGGCAGTGGTGAAGAGTGACTCTACATGCTGCAGGCATCAACTCAATACCCCAAAGAAGCATGAGTGTCTCCTCCCCTCTCGCTCTTGTTTTCCTCTCATTCCTCTCCAGACACACACACACCTCTGTAGCGAGTACCCAACCTATTCTCAACTCAGGCTCTCGAATGCGTGGCAAAATAGAAGCCAAATATGAACTGGTTCAACTTCTCAAATGTAACCATTTCCTGATGTTCCCTTGTTTACTGAATATCGTTGGCTCTGGGGAATTTGGTTTGTCCATTTTTCCCTATGACTTTTCAAAAGATCAAAACACGAATCAAGGCTTTTAGAAAAAGAGAGAGAGACTGATTGATAATCAAAATAAATGTCCTTAACCAACTCTGACCGTAACTATAAGACACTTTCTGCTTTCTGCTCCTATGGCCTCTTTGCATCTCTGATGGATTATCTGTTTGTCACTGCGGGTTCCGTCGTGTCTGTGCTCTGGAAGCACAAAGCTACACTGGCTGCTGAATGCAGAAACAAAGTCCATGTTTGGTATGTCTGGTAACAGAGTCTGACTTCTGAAGAAGTCCTTCTATGCGCACACTTGTCATGCAGATACATGCTCAGATTTGAGCTGAAGGAGGCGTAATCAAACCTCTTATAAACTCTTCCACTTTCAACACGTGATGTGTCGAGCACACACACGCACATACACACACACACGAAAGAAAACAAACATATTCTGGAGGTCAATTCAAACCAGAGAAAAGATTCAAAAGATTATAGGCCTGATTTTCAATGACCGTAATTATCGAAAAACCTTCTAACATGCGTCATGATGAATGTGTGTGTAATTAGAAATAGAGAAAGATTTTCATCTCTGTCATTATCCGTCCCTGCTTCTCTCCCTCCAACACGGCCATTTCACGCATCCACAGGCTGCATTTTGTATTATTCTGGTCCATGGCAGCCAGGTGTCTATTTATGCACTGTCCAATGACAGAAATGACGGGGGGGGGGGGGGGGGGGGGGGGGG